ATTCTGCTGCATGATTCTCAACGAAGTTATAAGACTGGCTTTCTCTGATTCTACAAGCGCTATAGATTCTCTTTGTCCTTTGATCGTAACAGTGAGGTTTTTCACTTCATTTCGGAGAGAAGCATTCTCATTTCGTATCGTATCAATATTCGAAACTGACACAAAATGTAATACTGACACAAAATGTAATAACATTTGACACAAAATRTAATAAAATTGCTAACACAATATAAAATAAAATTTGACACAAAATGTAATAACGATATTAACGCAAAATGTAATAAATTTTGACACAAAATGTAATAATTACTTACCCGCTTACCCGCTTAGCCCCTTACCTACTTACCTACTTACCTACTTACCTACCTACCTACCTACTTACCTAGCTTGCTTGCTTGCTTTCTTGCTGAATCTAAAAGTAAGGGAGGCAGCAAACTTACTAACGATATTAACGCAAAATGTAATAAATTTTGACACAAAATGTAATAATTACTTACCCGCTTACCCACCTACCTACTTACCTACTTACCTACTTACCTACTTACTTACTTAGCTTGCTTGCTTGCTTTCTTGCTGAATCTAAAAGTAAGGGAGGCAGCAAACTTACTATATCCCAAAAGCATGTGTGTAGATTTTCTTGAAAAGGGACCTTATAATGCTTATTTATTGCTATTATCTATCTATTGTTGTAGTTCATTTTTATGATTATCGGGCGTCATAGTTGACTTTGCTTTTGGATTTTTTGATTTAATGTTGTTAGTCCCAGCATGTATAATGATCTTGCTAGGCTTCTTTCTAAGAGCAGGTTTGATATAATCGTCCATGTCCTCAATAGTAGCTCCAGGATAAGAGTGCGATTGGACGTTTACATTCTTTGACAAACTTTTGCGTCGATAAATTTTGTCATAGAGTTGCCAATCGATATGATTTCAGATGATTTGTTTGCTGGTTATACTGGTTCATCGCGTCTACTTCTCTGCGCCTTCGCGTCGGTTTTATTTTGATCTGATCGTAGATTGCCAATACTTTTCACTATCTTGTCATTGTCTTCGTCCTGGGTAACAAGAATGCCTTTGATTTCAAGTGATTCTCGGCGGGCATATTGTTCTAGGTCAAACAAAACCAACGAACGAGCATCAGTCGGTAAATTATCAAGACGTTTTACAATGAACCGCCCCATTGCCCTGTAATCGTTTTTATGATGCCCATACGCAACTGAAAACTCAATCTCTGAATCTATGCTTGCCTTTCATATAACGGGTAAGTGTTCTCTGAACGTTGCTTCTTTAACGGCCAGACATCAAGAAAAACAGGAGGATAATCAGATAGAAAGGTAAGGCACTTGCGTCTTCAATACTTATGTTAACGTGCGAACCATCTATAGGGACGTAAATAAACATTACAAAAGAGCTACGCAGTAGGGATTAAAAAAAAAAAAGAAATTTACAAACAGAAACTGGAGTAAAGTATTCAAGGTACAATGAAATACAGATGTGTCCATTTTTTATTGCTCTTGATGTTGAACCGTGTCATCACGTGACGTCAGCCATGCACACTATCTTCAAGTTCCAAACAATAATGAAGTCATTATTAATCTCCTCTACTACTTCTTGCTTGAAACCTCTTTGTGGTCTAATACAGTTGATCTAGTTTTTTTTCGGGGGGRGGGGGGGGGTGTCGATAACGTCAGATGATGCCCTTTTTCTATAAGTCTCTTTTTTCCTCTAATACGATTGGGTATGGTAACAGATACCGATTGAAATGGATCTCTGGACCATCATTGTTCAAATCTTCGTCTCCTAAATCTTGTTCTAGTTCTTCCTGAAGGAAAACCTGTGGTATACCAGCTATAAAATGCCTTTGTTTTTTTTTTGTATTTTTTTCCTCTGCGACAAAATGGCAAAGTTGCGCTATAGTTATGCAGGGGTCTTCAGGAACATACCCAAGAGACATTTGCGGGTATCTGCTATAGGGTTCCTGTCTATAGTCTAATCAAATATTATGTACCAGATATCAATCAATGTCACTATGTTGTCAAGTGATTATGAGAGGGCGAAGATAGCAGATCATGTGACAGAGGTTAATTTTTACCCATGCTTTATTTGACCGCCGTAATTCAACACAGCCGAACTAGAAATATTAATTTATCAAATTCGTAAACAAGGATTTCAAGCCGAGAAGATACCCGAACAGTATTTTCGGCATGAACAAGCGAAGATCGATGAAGAGAACAGGTTTTCAAGAGTCAAAATTACGATAAGCGATCGTAAATTCATTCAGCATGACTCGTTATTCTTTTGAACTTGACAATATACCATAATAATGTTTCTCAAATTAAAAATAATAATCTCTTTTTTGAATAAACTTTTGTGTCATGCTTTTTGTATTAACTTATTTTGACATATTCGTGACAAACTATTTACAATTCAAATTGCAGTTAATATAATTGAATTCTCTGCTACCAACTCTGAGATGGGTGTTGCTAAACCCCGAAACCCCGAAACAGTAACAAAACGAAACACCAGTGTACAAATACTTTACAATATAATAGTTAAACGTAGTAGATTAATGAATCTTTTGATTTTGAGAGCAACTTACATCATTCAAGACCAGTTTACAATGTTTTAAGAATCGTATATCTGGAAAGTTTTATGTCATCACTCTGTACTGTCATAATCCGATAATGGGGATTAAAACGTGACACTGAGACCTAAATATAGCAACGTGACAAGGTGACCGTGGGGTGACCTTTTCCATAGATGAATTACTTTAAAAAAATAAACTGATGAGGGTCCTCGCTGTAAGAAAAATGAGCAGYTAATTTTGTTCTTGGGCCAAAATAACATCATCAGATGGACCCAAGAAACATGCAAACAAGTTCTTACGTGCCGAACATTGCAGAACTGAAGCACAATTGAATTTAAAAGTATCGTTTTAAATGATTTGTACAAAGCAAATGTCCCGTGATTCGCGCGTGGTAAAAAGCTTAAATCATTGTTCAATATTTATGATTCAAACTACACAATCCTGCTAAATATATGTATAAATTGCAAAAAAAAGTTATAGAAAAATAATTGATATTTTCCATGGTATTTTAGTTTGTCGTGATATTTTGTCATGCTTTGTTAAAAGCAGGATAATTTTCATATTTTGAATCTATAATTTGCTGGCAGCTATGAAAACTTATGAATCAGTTTACAGAAAT